CATGTTTTCATATTTGGAGCTATAAATGGAGAAACAATGGAGTTTATCAGTAGCGTTGCCATGGAATAAAGATGGATCCCCAATGCTCAGAACATTACATGCATGCTGAGAATATGGATACGCTGGTTAGGTTTGAAATCCATCATTTAAAAGGACGTATTCTTATTTAGGTTTAAATTCAAGCAGTGACATGTACATCTTGAAATTTTAAGTTATACACGAGGCAGACACAAACGTAAATATGTAGCATTGAAAATATAATATATTATCATCAAAAGTATAAGTATATATCACAATTATTTTTTAATTTTCATATTTTAAAAAATTTAAACGATTACACACACACACGTAAAGAAAAGTCAAAAAGTTTTGTGGGAACTCTAAAGAATATGGATTGAAAATGGAACGCTAAGAGGATATATATATATATAGAAGTGTGGACCAATAAAACTACGGTCTTAATTGGACCTTAATATTGGAAGGGGAAAAAAAATAAAGCACAACTTTTGAACCATGTCGAAATTGTTTCAATTAATAAAGAATTCAAAACGTTGGTATGATTACATAGAGCATATACTTTTCCATTGATAGATTAACTTGCTGCACATGTCTTGCATTGCATGGTGACCAAAGTGGCAAAATGGGATATGGTGTTTAGTAATAGGCACAATCGGTTAATTACTCCTTAGATGGATAAGTTATTAAAGTCGTTTAGTATGAGGCGAGAGCAAAAGGAAAAGAGTTGAAAAAGATGGTATCGGCGGGGTCCAAGTCCAAGTGTGTTGTACAAAATGAGCTTTGGAAAAGTAGCAGCCAAAAACACAAACCAAAGTTCAACGGCTAATAGTGTCTATGCTTTCCCAAACGGATACAAAACATGAGCTTTAGTTTGATCTATCGTCAAACACAATCTTCTAGCCGTTGTTTGTGCCCTTTTGGCCAAAAAGCTCTTCATCTTTTCCTTTTCTTGGCAGTTGCATGTATGTATAAGGGGAGAAATTTGAATTTTTATAAGTTTTTCAAACCACAATCACCAGCCTCATACAGCATCGTACAAAAAGAAGGGAAAACTTTATGGATTATTGGATTCATTTACTCAATTAGGAAAATGCCAGTCTAGTAATTTTAAAATATGAATGGTTAGTTCACAATCATAATATTTTTTTATTGGATTATTTAATTAGTTACATATTAATTCTTCAATTCATTACTCTCTCTCTCTCTTCAAATAATGACAAATAGTTAATTTATTTAACTTATTCATAAAAAGAAATTTAAGGATGAAATTCCTTAAGTTCAAGCAAATCAACAAAACTCATCAAAACATTTCTAAGACAAATAAATCAAATAGTTTATCTTTGGGTTAAATTTGTGCATTAATTTTTGAATTAACATATATACTCCAATATCAATTTACTGTGCTTTGACACCAATTTCCCAACAATGTAATGGCAAATACGCAAAATGCTATCTTTTAGTTATATAACAAGAGTCATGATGTTGCAAAATCCAAATTTCCTGGTGCTTCTCCGTTGGCTTCTTGAAGCAAAACTATTAATTAAAAGTAGATGGATATGACAATGATTAACACATTCCCAAATTGAAAAGAAACACACAATTGCCATAATATGATATCCAAACATAACAAATCAGGCTAATAAAAGACTATAGGATTCAACTACGCTTTTTTTTATTCATGAATTGACTCAATTTCAAAATTTATCAATTTTAAATAATTTTTTTAATATTTTAAATTTTATTTCTTTGAAAAATGTTCTTCATCAATATATATATATATATATATGAAATATTTTCTTTTACTCTTGGAGGAAACAGTTATCCTTGAGGCGAACAAGAGTTTTATTTAGAAAAAAGAGTTAATTATGTTTATATTCAAGAAGCATTACATATTGAGAATTCTTTTGTACAAAAATGGAACGAGCATGTGATGGTTCTGAGTGAGATAGGATCTCCATACCTGCCATTGATAAGCTTTACTCACTTCTGAGCCGAATTGCAAATGTATTATATTCAAATCAAGTACTCTATCAATTCACAGTTCTATTTCCAATCAAATATATACCTAATTCAACTGTTTCATTCATTACTCATCAATTCTCTCTTCAAACAATTATGTTATTTGTAAATTCATCATGATTGAAAAACATTAAGGTAATTTTTTAAGTATAAAATAAGCAACAGTTTAGTAATTAATTTAATATTTAAATACAGATGAAACGACTGGATTAATAATTTAAAATTGATAAAATAGGTTAGTTCAATCCAATCAAGTTAAATTTGTCTGATAAAACGAAAAGTGTAAGTTTTAAAATTTTAAAAATTAAATTAAATTATTTTAACTCAATAATTTTATCAAACTTAAATATTATTTTTATAAGCTCAAATTATATTTACACTTTCTTAAATCATGCAAGCCTTTTAAAGTTTACCAGGTAACCATCTTTCTAGTGTAGTGACTTTAAAGTTTTAAATTGTGAGAGCAATTTATGTTTGACTTATTTGGATGAACAACACACATGGTGTTTTTCACTCAGGATTTCAATTATCAAAACCGTACCTCAACTACTACCGTTTCTTATTTTAATTATTGATGCCATTTTATGGCCAATTTTGTACTTTAAGATTATCAAAATATCTTTCTAGTTTCAACACAATACACACTTCTTCGTCCATGCAAAACTTTTCACTTTAGATATTCCATTTGCATCAAATCAAAGTATCATGTTTTTACTTATTAATTAAAGTGGTCTTGCGTATTAGGGTTATTATATGTGTTGAAATATATAATTTTGAAATAAATTAACTAATCTTATATAAAAATTATCACTAAGCAATTTTTTAGTTTACATATTTTCGTAATTTCAAATTAGTTTGTTTTATTCAAATTTGTGATTAAAGTGCGCTGCAGTTATTTTTAAATGCATTTAAATTAAAAATTATTAAAGGAAAAATTATAACAGAGATATGCATTATTAAATAAATAATAAAATATAAAAATATAATTAAATAAAAAAATTTAAAAGATATAAACAGAATATATATGATTTATTTGAAAGAATTGGAATGTAAAATATGAAAATTAAGAATGAAAATATTCATTTTTTTTTAAGGAAGAGCCAATTTTAGTTTCAAAATTTAATAATAATTTGCCTGAAATGATCTAACATTTGTTACAATCAATATTTGAATAACCTTATTTATAGAAATGAAATTTTGTAAGTAAGAGAGAACAGCGGATTGAAGGGAAAAAAAAGAAGAAGAAAAAGAAAGGAAGATGAAGAAAGATTCTAAATGTACTGTCTATAACTATATACTTGTTATTTTGAAATATCACCTATTCTAATTTTGCTAGTATTTAATAATCATGTAATATTAATGTTTCATTTTATTAAATTATGATACTTAATGATCATGTAAAAAATAATAAAAAACAAGTATGAAAAGATATTTATAGTCCAAACAAAAATAAATTTAACACTAAAAGAGATATTAACAAAGAGGAAAAAAGTAAATAATAAAAGATATTTGAGTTGTGGGTGAACTTAAACTTTTAACTAAAATAATTAAACTACTTTATTTAATAAAAAACTTTATTTTTTAACACTCAAGCTCTTAAAAGTTTTAATTATAAATTATTTAAGTATGTAATAAACTAATTAAAGCATTTAATTCGACTTATGTTTTAAATGAATTATTTTCTTATGAATTATGATTTCATAAAGAGTAAAATACACTCTCCTCTCTTAAAAAAACAAATATTACACCATTTTTTATAAAATATATTATTTAGTTTATTTGACATTACACATTAAAGATTTTTTTGAATATTTTAATATTTTTAATTTAATATTAATATATAATATTACTTTACATTTGCTAATTTATCTTTTACTCAGTCTAATTTTCATTTACATGTTCTAATAATTAATGTTTTTTTGTTCTATCTTTCTTTTTTTGAAGGTGTTAAAATTGCAAGCCATTTACACTTTTTACGTTTCTGCTACGATGATGATTTATCTAATTTTATTTTCATTATTTAATACTGAAATAAACCTTTAAAAATTTTATAACAATAGCAAATGTTTACTCTTTCTTGAAGAATTGAGCTCATTATTTTTTTAAAATTCTGACAAAAATATAAAATTTATTAGAAAGGATATTTTAACAAAAAAAAAAAAATGTAAAAATGATGTTTCATAATGTTTTAACAAAAACATAAAATATATTAAGACGTGAGACGTTTTAATTTTTTTAGGAGAGGGGATTATAATATTTTTAAATTGAAGAAATGATAAGGTAATATTTGTAACCATCACATGGAGAAAATATAATTACCTTTTCCTAAAATAAAGCTTAGTATGTTTATATTACGAATTTATTTTCAAAAAATTACTTATTTTTATATAATTTCTCTCAAAATTGATTATAACAAATTAAATAAAAAAAAACGATTATTCCAGAATAAAAACTCCAAAACCTGCACTTGCAATACCAAATTAATTATGAGCTAATGATAAATAATGTGAGAGAAGGAAAAGGTCAAACTCAATCAAACAGGCCCCTACAGACACAGCTTCCGAGCTTAATTTGTTTATTATTATTTTGAACCGAACCAGAAATTTGATTTAGTCTGAGAGCGAAAGCCAGAGAGACGTTGGTATGGCATGTGGCATTTGACACTTCAATTTCGATTCGGAATTGGAACACAACACAACACTCACAGAGAGAGAAATAAGTGTCCAGTGTCGCAACCCTTTTCGGAAAAAGCCATGATGTTCTTCTCCATTCCCTCGTCTTTTACGTGATGTTCTGTCCCTTCATACACGATAATCTATAAAACCCACCTCACAGCTTCCTTCTGTTTTTCAAACATGTTCTCTGTTACGCCTGAACCTGTAAGTGTAACTGTCGCTATGCTGGGACGTGTTGAATGAGAGTGAATCACCTTAAGCTTTGCTGTTGAGAAAAAGTTGTGCAAGATGGAGACTTTATGCAACAAGGGTGAGAGCTTTCAGAAGAAAAGTGATGGGTTTCGTTCTTCTGTTTCTGCCGATGAAGGAGCTAGGAACAAGTTCTTCACTGGTTCCTGTGTCGAGTCCAGAGAAACCAGTTCTAGTGGGTCTTGTTCCTTGAATTTGACTCGAGAACTAAAAGCCTCTTCTCCTCCTCCTCTTGGATGGCCTATTCGGAAGGCTACAATCTCCAAATGCCGCAAATCAGATGAAAAAGAAAATGAACCTGTTTCTCACTTGGAAGACACCAAATTTGTCAGTATCAGTTCAAAAATGTCAGGTATGTTCTGCTTTCAGGACTAGAAAATGGATGGAGTAGAGCGATATCATCTTTATAAGGCTCTGTGTCTCGATGCTTCTATGAAGCTTTGGAAAAAGAGACTATTAGTGTTTTTTTTTTTATCAATAAATTAAATTTTTAGTGGGTTTAGTTATTAATATTTATTTGGTTGTTGTTTAATTAGTGGAAATATTGTTGGATCAGGAGTTGATGCGATGAAGGAAAGGTTTGCAAAATTATTGCTTGGTGAAGACATGTCAGGATCAGGAAAAGGAGTTTGTGCTGCTTTGGCTATCTCAAATGCTATTACTAATCTGTGCGGTATGCTTTCTTTGTAACACATAGTGATATAGGCTCATGCTGTGTTGAGAAATTGTAACCTTTTCTGCATTGGCGTAGTTTTTCAAATTTTCTGTTTTGGCTTGAATTTTAATTTTAATGTTATTGCAATATCATTTTTATTTTTCAATTTGGATTTCATGTATCATGTAGCCACTGTATTTGGGCAATTATGGAGACTAGAACCTCTGCCTTGTGAAAAGAAAGCAATGTGGCGGAGAGAGATGGAATGGCTTCTAAGCGTTAGTGATCACATTGTTGAGTTAATACCTTCTTGGCAAACATTTCCAGATGGAAGTAAACTCGAGGTATAATTTGATTGAGTCCTCATCTATGACTTCAATTTTCTTTTCACTAAATAATAATAACTGGGCTAAGTTCTCTAGTGTCTACCATGCTTTGAAGTTATAATTAACTGAGGCATTAGAGTTATGATGTTTCTAATATGGTACATTCATTTTTGAAGGTAATGACTTGCAGGCCAAGGTCAGATCTTTTTATCAATCTTCCAGCTTTGCGTAAACTTGACAACATGCTTCTTGTAAGTGTTGGATCTTATTCTTTCATGGTGTGCAAGTAGACCATTAATTAGTAGAGAAACCATTTTCAGGCTTACAAACAACTTTCTCTTTACCAGGAAATTTTAGATAGTTGCACAGATATGGAGTTTTGGTATGTTGACCAAGGAATTGTAGCCCAAGATTCAGATAGTTCGGCTTCCTTTTGCAAAAAAATTCAGCGGCAAGAGGAGAAATGGTGGCTTCCTGTACCTCGTGTTCCCCCTGCCGGCCTCAATGAGAACTCAAGAAAGCAGTTGAATCACACAAGAGAATGTGCAAACCAAATACTAAAAGCAGCCATGGCCATCAACAACAATGCTTTAGCTGAAATGGAAGTACCTGAGTCTTACTTGGAAACCCTTCCTAAGGTATTATTTCTCACATAAATAGATGTTATGTCCACATATGATTAAAACAAATGCTCAAAATAGTATATGGTATTGATCATAGACACTCATAGCATGTATATGTAACTACTAACTTCGCTGCATCATAAGCTCAATAAGCAAATTCGTATCTTTCTTCTAAAATGTATGTGTACTTGTGTGACATTGTGTTGAATTTTCAATTGGGTTTTCACAAAGATGCCTTCCAAGTCTAACATATTTGGTGCAATTCTGAACTTTCAGAATGGCAGAACTTGCTTGGGGGATTTTATTTACCGTTACATCACATCAGAACAATTCTCTCCAGAGTGCTTGCTAGATTGCCTTGAACTCTCCTCTGAGCATGTTGCACTAGAGATTGCAAACCGTGTGGAAGCTTCAATATATGTGTGGCGTAGAAGATCTCACTCTAGACCCCCACCTAATCCTAATCGTTCAACCACAAGGTCATCATGGGAAATCGTCAAGGATTTTATGGCTGATGGAGATAAGAGAGAATTACTGGCAGAAAGAGCTGAAAATATTCTACTTTCATTGAAGCAACGGTTCCCTGGTTTAACTCAAACTACCTTGGATACCAGCAAGATCCAGTGCAACAAGGTTCCTTCCATGCTTCTCTTTGTTTATTCAGTTTTTTTAAAGTATGTTCAAGGACACAAAGTAAAAAATTAATAAATAGCAAATATTTATTAAAAATTGTAGCATTTAATGTTATCCATCGAATTCTACAATACATATTGTGGTTTTCAATAAAAAAATTATTATACATGTATAAGTTGTTATTGTATACTCTTAGACACGTAATAGAAACCGTTTTATTTTCATGTAATTTGCAATAATTTCTCTTAGAGCATTTCACATTGACACATTTCGTTTCGAACATTCAGGATGTTGGAAAATCCATACTAGAGAGCTATTCAAGAGTTTTGGAGAGCATGGCATTTAACATTGTGGCTCGCATAGATGATTTGCTATATGTGGATGAGTTGACTAAGCATTCAGATAGGTTTCCTTTGGTTCCAATGGTTTCTCAACAGCAGCTTTCACATCCTTTGAAAGTGTCTGTCTCAGGCACTCCTCACAAAGCATCCGTTGCCACACCTAAACTTTCACCTGCGCCACTGATTAGTCCTATGAGGGGAGAGAGAACTCCTATCAACAACAACAACAACATAAAACCTCAACGTCGTGGCTTTGGAGTGAGAAGAGTGTTGTCAAATTATCTTGGAGTAGAGACTAAAGAAATAAATTTTTTTAGCAATTCAAGTGAGGTGAATAGTTCAAACCCAAGTGGCAATAAAACACAACAGCCAGAACAACGTCAGAAGGAATCACATGCCGTGAAAGGCAAGATAAAATGATGGATTACTAGGAACAGAAAAAATTGTAAACATTTTATGGCTTTATAACTGAGTGTTTCTTAGTACCATTTACTAGTATAGAATCTGACATGGATCAGTTTAATTGGAATATTGTGTTGAGAGTAAGATCGATGATCTAATAGTTTGTATTTAGAGGACATGTTCTGTGTACTGGCTATTCCTTCAAATTGTGTACTTCATATTGTATTCTCTTTGGGCTTTTCCTTCAATGCCAATTTGAAGAAGACTTGACCTCACAGCTGTTTTTGTATCATTTTTGTTAAGAATTAAAACTGTTTTGGTCAGACCAATTTTTGATAAATTGTTGCCTAATACTATGCAATTCGTCATTTATATAAATAAAACAATTAGTGCATGTAGTTGTAAACATCACTTGGAGCGGTGGCAACAAAAATTTGGGCAGGGCGATGTTTACAAATTTATGTTTAAATTGAGTCTCAATGGAAGAAATAAGTCGATCTAATAAAAAATAGATGATTTAAAAAATAAAAAGTGCATTAAGGAGGTGACAAAAGAAAAGTTAACTTTTGAAAATAATAGAGCTCTTCTCAATAGTGAGAAGTTAAAAAAACGACTTTTTAAAAAAAGCTGAGACAGTGTACACTGCAGGTGAATTAATATTAATTATTATTATTATTATTATTGAATAGTCAAGCATGTTAAAAATTTGAGGCTCAAGACATTAGTCTCACTTGACTTACCATTTACGGGACCCTGATTTTGGGTAAAGTACATATCTTTTCTGCTTTTAAGAGTTCTTTTTATTTTTAAAAAAATAATTTTAGTTGAATTTTATTTGTTTTTAAAATTTTACTCTTCTTTCTTAAAATTATGTTATAATTTAATTTATTTTAACGTAAATATGTACCATTGTACCTTAACCATGAACAAATATTCATTGGATATTTTTCTCTGAAACTCTTGATAATAATAGTAGCTAATTTCAAATACCTTATTCCTAATTTTATGGTTTTTAAAGAAGAAATAATTTTGTCAACATTTGTGTTTCTAGTTTTAGAACTTTAACTAAAATTTAATTTAATTTTTAAATTCTAAAGTTGAAAAAGAAGGATACTCTATCAATGATGTTAAGAGCTGTACGAAAAGAAAAAACTATATTTAATTGGCTCATTTATGCTAAAGTGAATGAAAATAAAATATATATTAATTCTTCACAAAAGTATACATTTTAAAAATAAATTAAAATAAGTTCAATTCAAATGTTAAAAAAATATTATTTATCATAACATTGTTCAGTTAGATAATAATTTATTAACCTTTCACAGCAGTCGTTGTAGTATAGTGGTAAGTATTTCCGCCTGTCACGCGGACGACCCGGGTTCGATCCCCGGCAACGGCGCTTTTACCTTTTTTTCATTTTAATTTTCAGTTTTTGAAAATGTGTCAACTGAGATGTGAATAATTTACAAGTGTGGAAGGTTTGTGATAATACGTTTTAAATACTCTTAATCAAACTCTTAACCATTTCGCCATTGTGTGGGGGCCTAATTACTCTTGAAAGATGAAGACTGGGACTGGGGAGTAATGTGACTACGGACAAGTCAACATAAATGGTTTGAACTAATGGATAATGTGAATTATAACTTTCATAAAGTTTGTGTCGCATTGTATGCATGGTCAATCTACAGTCAATAACTTGGATTATATAATTGAGCAAGATTAGATGAAATCCGGGAAATTAAATTTCAAACCTAGGATAAAATAATGGATATATGCTCACTTTGATAAAATAATAAATTATATATGATTTGAGAATGATGAATAGATTCAGAGGTGAAATGACAGGCTTTGATTCCCATGTTAAAAATGAATTGGATTTAATAATTCAAACCTTATAAAAAGTATTTTAATTATACTGATAAACGACATGAGATAGTAATAATGTGTGCGCAGCAGAGTTAAAAGAAAGCAGTAATACACAGCAGTAAGCCATAGCAAGAGGGATGAACACCCAAAAAACAGAGAAAAGGATCACACATTATCATAAAACAAAACTCCTTTTATTATTTCATATGAAAATATAAAATAAAATACAGAATAAGCAGGTAGTAGTTTTGGCCCCAAGCTACTGCCGTGGAGTGCTTATACCATATATTCGGGACTGAAAAAGGACCCGATAGTTGTCAAAAGACTACTGAACTGGTTCGATATATATACTCTACCATCACTTATTTCCGTATAGTTAATTAGGGTACACTACAGCGTCCATGGTCGATCTTCATCCTGCAACAGTGGACTCAGTTACGTTAATTGCTCATGAATCACTCGAAACACAGATTATAAGCTATTACTATGTTGTTCTAGGATAATGTATTGGTATTAGGTTTAATTAAGTTACTATATTTTGCCTCGCATGCTAAGAAAATAAGAAAAAGTTAAGCTGTAAGTGCGACATGAGGATAATATAAATATAAGTTCAGGTTAGATAATTTTCTTAACAAATGTTTATACATAAGAACGAAAATGAATCAAATTTTTTTATTAGTTAAAATTCACTTATACTGTTTTATTTTCTTTAGAAGGTCTTGTTAAAGAAACTTGGACTCCCAAACGCTGGCGGATCCGGATTCTTTGTAGCCGTGCTTGCTGCCTCTGCAGCAGATATCAATAGCCGTCAATTTTATATGCAATGGTTATTAAAATTTATAATATTTTACAATTATTTTTAACAGAAATTATGACTGAGTATATTTGACAACGGAAAATGATCTAAATTCAAAACTGGAGATTTACAGGTAGCCCAAGCTTGATCCATGCATGAGTGAGGAGAGAGTGTTTGGAGTACAAGTTTAAGAGATATCTTCATCTGAAATGCTTTAAACAAATTTAGAATAAAACCCTCTAGCATATATATCTTTTGACATGTTAGCTAATAAATGTGAGACTTATATTAAGTTATACATCAATGGACTACCAGCAAATCAAAGGTTATACAAGCAAGGGGACTTCAGTCTAAAATTGAATGAGACATTTTAAAATAGTGAGTCCTTCAAGTTTAAGTTCCATTACTCTTCTCTTCCCCGTATTAGATTGAACATATACTATCTAAAATAAAAATAAAAAACAAAAAACTACAGTTAAACTTGTGACCATATTAAATAAAGAGGTCTACCAAAACTTATAGCACAAATATTCCCCTTTCCATATTTTTAAAACTTGAAGAGTATAATTTGTTTTTAATTAAGAAATAAATTTTATTCATTTTTATATTAATTTTCTTTCAATATATTGTTTTGATATTTCCAATTTTACTCCTGCTCTCTATCAGTTTTGAATTTCTTTTATGAATGAGCCAAAAATTAATTATTCATGTTAGTATATTGAATCCTATATATTTATCTAGGCAAAGCCTAAGATGAAGAGAGGAATAGATACCTGGTGTGCAGGAAGCTGAGTTTTTTATACCGTGTCAAGGGCATAGTGTGATGTTAATAATAAAGGGAACCTGCAAAAATAAAAAAATAATAGAGGTGCACTAAAAGTGAGTAAATTGTATTTGTACGTGTTTCACTTGTAATATATTCTAAGATGACATTTTAATTCCTCTAGCTACTGGTCACCAACAATGTCCTGCTCCTCCTACCTTGCCACCAGTTCCCTCTTGCAGCGCTGTTTGAATCGTTACCGTTGGGATCATCATCATCCTTATCTTTCTTGAACTGCAAACAGAAAAAGTATGAAGCATTAGCTAATTTCGAAATCATTATAATATGTCATTATGAAATCAAGCAGCTGTTTGCATTATATTCTTATTACTAGAAATTTTTTAAATATATTATATATTTCATGCAGCAAAAAATATAAATATTTCAAACAAACAAATCTAATAGGAATTTAAATTTAGAGCAAATGTGTTCGGTTTATCAATCTGGGCGAGGTCTTTTATTTTGAAGTTGTATGTATAAGTTTTTAACTTAAACGTTGACTTAAATATATTTTTATTTCTTCTGAGCATCATAAATTTATGGTTTCATTTCTTATTTTTTTAAAGATTATAATCTAATTCTTATAATTCTTTTATATTATCTATTTATTAGCTTCTATTTATTTTATCTATTAACTTCTATTCTTGCTTACTTTTTTATCTTCTAAATATCATAATTTTTTTTATTTGATCTTTAAAAATGACTTTAATTTTAATATCCTGTCAAACTTAAAATTTTTACACTAACTACATAAAGATTACTTTGAATATAATTTTTAAAATACTTATTATTAAAAACAACTATGCATGTGGCAACCTGCGATTGAATAATAATATAATTTTTTACACTATTCCTATATTTTAATTAAATTCTTTAAAAATAACATAATTATTTAAAGTGAATAAAAATCGAAGTTTATTATACTTAAAAGGAAAAAATATCAAACAAAATAAAACAAACGAAACATATGGAATAGGAATGACAAGGACTGAAGACTGCGTCCAGTGGTGGAGCTTTATTGGGGCGGGACAGGCACCGCCCATTTTTTTTTTCTTAGTTAGTACTTATAATTTTTATTTATTGTTCTTTCAATAAATTAAATTAGATTACAATACATGCAAAAATATTGATTGCTTTAATTTGTATCAGATGTATAAATCATATGTTATATCTCCGTTTGCCCCCTCGAACATAAGGCAAACTCCGTTACTGCATCTGTGTGATATATTACAATATCTTAGTCCACAATCTTGTTTCATAATGAGAAACTAGATATAAATTGATATTATTAAAAGAGACAAACAAATATTTAAACCTAAAGTAATCATCCAGAAGTTATACTATATATAATGGCATGAAGTTTTTTTGGAGAAAGTGATAGATATTTAGGAAATAAACTTAAAATCACATTATTCTATGTAAAGAAGTGTCTCCTTTTAATACATAATCCTTATGTCAAACAATTAAGGGCCATAGAAACGGATGAGAATTATGGCACTTACAACATGGTGGGGTTCAGTGGTCCTGCTTCTCGGGGAATAATTTTCTTGACCACCATAGTAGATAGAAGAGCTATAGTAGCTGGGCTCCACTGTCTCATTTTGATAATTGGTACTAGCATTCTTGTTACAGATGCGACTGCTGCTTTCACCTTTATTGTTGTGAGTTCCTAAAGCGAATCCAAACTGAACCATTACTAAATAAATCCAGACATTCAAAGTTCTTTAAAGCCATATGCTCCCAGTATGTAGACAAGATTTGAGATGTGCTGAATTGAAGAGGGTGTAGTAGCTCTATGTCATATAATCAAGTCATAGTAATCAATATTGCATAGATGCATGCATGAGGAAGTTTTGATCGAACCTGGTGCTCCAAAATTTTTGCTTCCCACATCTTGCCTTCTTGATTCTCTCCCTCCAACCTTACAAGTTAACAAAGAGTAACAACCACTACTCCATTAATTACTAAGTGTCAATCAAGAAATTGATTCATTTATTTTTAAAAAATGTAGGGTGGACAGCACAAAATTGAGTGGAATCCATGTATGTTTATTCTTATAAATTAAACAAAATTAAGTCTATAGTAACGACAAAAAAAAATTGAGGGAGATGCATACCGATGATGGAGGTGGAAAAATGGAGCTAAAGAGACCGGTGGAGGAAGATGGAGTAGAAGAAGAGTCCTTGGGACCAAAAAGATGATCGAAATTCATGATTGATGTGGAAGAGCCCCCAGCTTGCCTTTTGTTGTTGTTATCCATTTGTATAGTATATGTTGCAACCTTTGACTTTTGGAGAATTTTCTGTCATCAACGAAAAAACTACTATTTGGATGAGTATTCCCTAACGACCAAAGACTGAAGAAAAGGGTGTGGATTGGATGGAATTTGCAAGGAAAGAGGGCAACAAAAAAGATAAAGATGAAAGGAGAGCACGTGAAGTTAGCAGATGTATAGGAAGGGTAAAGGGTGTTGTGTGCTATTTATAAGCCCCAAATTATATGCTCACCCATGTGCTTTCATTCAATTCCCACCCCTTCACGCGGAGAATTTTTTATACTAAAGCGTTATATTTAATTTATTACAAATATAAGGTTTAATTTAACATATATTAATTCATATATATACAAGTTTCAGCACACTTATCCCATCATATTTAGATTCGTCAAACATTATTCCTTACTTCGGCTGGTTAACATTGAAATATGCATATATTTTATCATTTAAGTTATAGAAATTATAATAGACTAAAGCCACCAAGATACTAATTATCATATCTTTTAATTAATGTTATAATGTTTATGGAACATTGTTAACAATTCCAGTTATTTTGCATGAATAACTTCAAAATTAGAATAAATAAAATATTACTTTAAAAATTTAAAAATAAATACTACATAAAATTAACCACAATGATTTTGTAAATAACTTTATATCTTTGAAACTTAAAAGATAAGACTTAAATAAAATAATAACAGTTTTAATAAATTCTTTTATGTAATTTTAAAAATTGTTTTGACTCTAAATATAGGTTAGACTACTCTGAACATATGACCTATTTTGAAAGCGTTGAACTTGATAGTTGATATGCATGAGCATTTCATAAGATTATTTGTATGCGGAAATAAAGGAATCAATAAAGTTGAATGACTGGATCGAATTTATGGCCTAAATAATTATTAGACGATAAAATCCAAGAAACAAAATGATTAGATGATATGCTATTTTTAATTAGGTTCCATAATTTTAATCAACTACTCATAATTAAATATCGATTTTGTAAAAAAAAGGTCACATGGGAATGGTTATAAAAAGGGACCAATTAAAGAAGCTATATATGGAGGAAGATATACATTGAAAGGGATGTGGGAGAATTTTATTTATGGTGAACATATTGTACTAAAACAATTCCCTTCTTCTGTCTCGTTCCTTTCGGATAAAAAAGGATAAGGAAATGCATGGGGGAATTTTGGTGGAGCCATACTCCATTTTTTTAAAATTATTTTATAAGACCTAAAAAAAGTCATTCAATTTGAATAATCAAATAATAATTATAATATTAATTTGTTACTAATTATTAAGTCTATCTAGATAACATAAAGAGAAAATTACGAAAAAAAATTGCATATATTATTCAACTTCTAACTGAACCTAAAACGAAAGCAAACTATTTTTAGTACATTTAAAGTAGCTAGAATCTTTTGGTGTTTTTTGTTTTACTTTAGAGAATATTTTTAACATACGTAAATATAAAAAGTTGTTAAAATCATATATAATACATACAATTTTCATTTTTAGATATTCAATTATCATAATTGAAAACAAAAAACATTACGAGAGGCTGAACTAGATAGGAAGGAGCATCTTCCAAAGCAAGATAACAGTACTTTTTGCATTAAATTAATAAGAGCACTAAACTTTCCATTAATTGGTTAGATAGAATTAAAAGTTGCTTAAATTTTCCATGTTATATGCACGCAACTTAACTTGTGCATTTATTAAAAAAAATGTTTTCAGTAGTTGATTACTAAAAGGAACAAATTAGACTAACAGTTCAAATTAGTCTTTAGTTCAGTTCTTTTTATGACATTTAACTGATACATTATGTATTATATCATTATAATTTTATTAAAAATTGAGATGTTATAAGATAATTCTAAGTATCAAAACATGTTTTTATTCCTAAGTTATTTCCACACACACTACAATGCCTATTATTTATTAAAATTAAAAAAATATTGATATATTTTTATATAAAGATGGAAAAAAAAACTGATGTAATTATATGCGGAGACTAAAACATAAATTTTTTTATTAGATTAAAATAGAGTATAAAGATTAAATAAAATAAAAGATAACATAAAAATAGGATAAGATTTAATATATGTTTTTATACAATTTTTAAAAACTAATTTGTAAATGTAACTTTAAAAAAGTATATATATATATATATATATATTTTGGGCTAAGCATTGATTAAATTGAATAATTGCGTCAGCCGGGAGTCGAACCCGGATCTATTGCTTGGAAGGCAATTATCCTAACCGTTGGACTACTGACGCTACATACATAATACCTATAGAAGTTAATTTATTAAATAACGTAATTTTTTAAATTATATTTATCATGAAATCTTTTATTTACGTGATAATTTAAATGGAGATGGCGTTGGATTAAATGCTTTGTTATATTTGATTGTCTAGTTAGGTGTGTATATTTTTGCAATGCAACTTTTTAATTATTAATGTGAGTTTCTTTAAAAATATATTTAAGAAAAAAGAATCAAACACTTTAATGTATGAATATATAATAATAAACGAAATTATTAGTAAATTTATTTGAATTATATATATGAGTGAATAGTAACTTAACAGTTATATCATAGATTTGTAAGAATGGAATTTGGAGGTTTGGGAGATTCAAATACTCTCCGGAGTCTTCTCATCCCCAGATATTTTGGCCGCATACATGGGGATTAGCACCGTGCTTGTATCTGCAAGTCAACTATCAACAAAATCAGATATCAGATGACGTAGCAAGTTAATCTATGCTTCTGATTGTCAACTTCAACAACTTGCACACTGCAAGAATTTTTGTTATATATCTTCTGTTTGCGCCACTATTTAATGCCTAGAATCTAATGGCAATTTGCAGGGTCGTTTTCCAAATGTCTGGGAATATCTCTTTGTATGCATCTTCAATACTGCTATAACAATAATTTAATTTGGCCCACAAATAATTTGACTTGAGCTTCTAACTTTCTTGTCAATAATGGGATAAAGATGAAGAAGCAGTGAGAGAAGAAGGAATTTTGAAACCTGAACTGGCAATAAAGAGAACCCCCAAAAAAATCATTTCTCTTCGTCAGAGAGAGATAGAGGCTGTCAGAGAGCCCAAGCGTTTAGTGTCGTTGGAAGAGGTCTTTGGCATTTGCAGAAGTGTCTTAAAATTTGATTTGAACTAGAAGAGAAAGAAATACATTAATTACAAAATTAGTAATGTAATTTTCATGATATTTTCCCCCTATATATTTTCTGATAACTCATTTTGTTTTATCATATTCTTTTTATCTTTTCTTTTTCTATTGTCTTCTTCGTTTTTAGTGTAAGGATATGCTAATAACTTCATATGTTCTAATTGAAAACTTCATTCCAAAATTTTGACCAAAAGATAAGTAAACGTGTGTAAAGTTGTGAACGATCATTACTAGTTATAGATACTTCTAATAACATTTGTATCACCATATATACATCATTATATATATTGACTCATTGCACGCACAGAAAACAGACTTTTGGACGTTTTCTTTTTTTATTTTATTTGGCCTAGAATCTTATTAAGATTGTTTATTGCTATAGCTTCCTTGTATTTTCAATGAAAGAAAGATTTCAACTGTGTACATTGTACAACTTGGTTGAATTCCAAACAAAAATTATCAGAAATGGAGAATTCTTCGGCTAAATTAATGCCAAATTATACAATTGAGCTAGTCGTGAGGGTTAGATAACATATGAGGTCTTGGGGATTGCAATTATTTACCAATTAATCATTGTAAGATAAATAACTTTGAATCAAATTAAGATATGTTGACATAAATTATTATAAAATGTTTGATATTTAAACAAATTCTCAGTTGAAGTGCTTGAGCCTGAACCTAGCGCAATTCTTCTATCTGTAGTCATAGTTATACATATACTGCTGTTGATTGAAACATAAAAACTAAACGTAAGTTTGGATTATATATATCCTTAGTGTTTCCATGGATGACACGGACATTGGAGGAAGTAGCTTCCCAATTGCATCTTCATCCATTCGCCATATTCACCATTACACGAGACCTCGGAGGATAAGCTAGACTCTCTTCACTACCTTAACTGTTAAGTAACATACACTTACTATGTGCGTCCACCCATATGCATGATACTGAATGAAAAAAATTACAAGAGAAACATGAAAGTAAACATAGGGATAAGCCACCTTTAAGTTACATTTAGGAGGTATCCAGAAAATTTTGAGAAGAGTATATGATAATAGCTTATGACTCATGCAAACTTGTTGGGGTATCAATGCAATGCAGAAGATTGGATCGAATTTAATTGGAAATAAAGATAAGGAAGAGAATAATGGAAACAAGATTTTAACGTGAGAAAAACTGCAAATCAGAGAAAAAACCACAGACGACGACGAGCAAAGTTATTCCACTATGTAAAAAGGAGAGTACAATAAGTCCTCTAAAATTATGAGGATAGAGTAATAAATTACTTTATTTTTCTTTCAATAAATACTCTCTCAAGTAGAATAAGAGCTACAAAAAATAATATTCTCAATTTCTCTTCGATCCGTAAGTTGATATACAAAAGATCGTAATTTTTGTGTCTGTCAATCATTTCTACATTGGATATTTATAGGCAAAATTTTGTAAAGTTTTTCAACAATTACTGTAGCAATTCGGTGCCTACCAAATGAAAAAATCAGTGCTTACAAAGATTAAAAAAAAAAAAACAAAATCGGTGCCGGCAAACATTGACAAACTGAGCCACCTATTAACAAAACTTTTTATAATTTACTTTAATAAACTTTTTACTATAATTTGTTAAAATATTCTTTTAACTTGTTATGATATAAGTTTTAAAATATGACTTAATTAAGTGGTCATTTAATATATATTTTTATCATATCAGGGTTATGTCTACATTTATTAAGATAGAAATATAATCATAAACTCTTTCAAATACTTGTTAAAGAGGCATGACAACATTTACTAAGAAATTCCAATGAAGAGCATAAATCATTTTGAGTAGTGACCACAAAATTGGGGACAGAATGAGCACTTGAAAATGGTTTTTTTTCACAGTAGAGAATGGAAATTCAGATTCCTTTGTCCCATATATTGAATCAGCAAACGGCGTGAAGAAATGATGAAATACAACGCGCCACATTTGCCTCGCGTATGCT